GGCGTACTTCAGTGTTTGCATTTATGTCTCTTTAGCTATATATTGGAAGACGAACTTCATTCAATGGAGGGTAAAATAATGGTATAACTGAGAAACTATGTGGCTGTTTATACATAACATTATAATTATGAATGTGAATTAATCATTCAGGCTTAGAAATATGAATGTGAATCAACCATTTTCTGGGTAGTTTCCAATCTTCTGTGGCTGTGCACTCTTTACTTACCTTTTAGCATCCATAATGGCTTTCTATAATGGCATCCATAATGGCCTTTATCCCATTAAGTGGGGTCGGCTACATGAATCCTTACTCTCCATATCGTCCTACTGAGTGTCATATTTCATTTAATTTAAAGCAACAAAATCTATCAGCTGATCCAAAATACATTAAGCAATGTTTAAATTTCCACTGAAAGTTCATATTTCATTCCAATCTCTTCTAACATTATTGTGTTAGTTTTGCTACTAATCTGTTTCCATCTGCTGCTCTGTGATTTAGATGAAAAACAAAGCTTTTTCTAAAATTCTAATATTTTGGGAGAACATATCGCATTAAAAAAAATTACCAAAAAAAAAACATATTGAAAAGCATCGACAAATGTGTGCAAGGGCAAGTGAATCAGAAGTTCATTGTTTGTTGGAATGATTATTGTAGAAATAACCAAGAGACTAAAGTTTCACAATTTCAAATGTGGTGAGTGCAAACTGCAATTAAAAAAAGGGACATTTACGTATGCAGCTGTAAATGTCCCTTGTTCAAATACGTATGCAGCTTGCAGCTGTTCGTTGTTCAAATATTAAAAAAAAAAGGACATTTAGTATGGAATGTTAACCCCCATGGAATGTTATGCAGTTGACATGTATTTACTGCAGTTGACATGAACATGAAAGTTACAAATCAAACGGTTAAACAATTTCAGGCAAAATAGTCACGAACCAAACAGCCGGAGCTTAAGTAATAAGCTGCTTACTCCGATCATCGATTCCGCAAAGCGTCGATTCCGACGTCACTAGCGGCATTAAGCACGCCGACAAAGTCCACCACTTACCATCTTCCCGTGCTCATCGGCATCGATGCAGAGTATCGCGCGACTAACCCTAGTCTTGTGCTCCGCCTGGGTTCTTACTCTCTTCTATGGCGAGATGGTCGCTTATTGGATCCCTCTGTGGACGTGCTCATGGCCTCAACCCGACACCAACTTCTCCTTGTTATCGTCATCGGTAATGTGCCCGGGTTCCCCTTTCAAATTCAGGCTAAGTAGATGCGATGTTTGGTTGAGCGAATCTGATCAGAAATTTTTTTCATCGTGCTTACCTTTTATAAGTGCAAGTGCTATTATATGAATATCCTTCTGATCAGCTTTTTGCATAAGAGATTTGTGCTCGCTTTCTTGTCCATTCGAAACAATGTGCGCAATCACAAACTCAAGCTATATTGGTTGATTACACAGATCGAAGGCCGTGCGGTGAAGGTTGCTGTTGTAGCCGACCCACAGGCAATTTTTCTTCTCCTACATATTTGGTTATTGTAGATCTACGCTTCATTTTACAATTTTGCCTTTAACTAACCTGAAAAAAAAAGATGAAAATGGCATGCTGTTAAAATTTCATTTGCTCAATTCAGAGTAACACCTGAAAACCACTCCCCAATCTTCTCTTGCCCCAGAACACATATGCATTAGTTTGATTCTGAAATGTGAATTTTAATATTATATGCTCATATTTCTGCATTACAAATGTTGTGGGCCATTTGCCATCATGTGGCTTTTAATTTTTTTTTTAATTTTTTGAAATAATTTGGGAGCATATCTGTTCTTTGTTTTTAAATATGATTTTCATTTTCAACAGCTAATGGATAGGACATCCCTCAGCCTTGGTGCCAAGTCTCTTGCACTTGCAGTAGCAAAATTTTATACAGATTTATACATGCGGAGGTCTTTTCGTCTGTCTATATTACCATTCAACCCTAATGTGGTTATATTTCTCGGTGATCATTTTGATGGGGGACCTTTCTTGGAGGATCAAGAGTAAGGCACGAATCCCCCCCTTTTTCAGATTACTGTTCTTTTGGTTCTTGTAATTTACTCATATTGTTAACATTTTTTTGGTGCTATTTTCTTCTTACTTAATCATCAATTCTAACTTTTGGTCTTTGTTCTTGCAAAGAAGTGCTATTATAGCTTTGAAAGTATCTAGTGGTAAAAAATGGGTGATGTAGGACGGTTTAGGGTTCATGTTTTCTGATGCAAATTTGATTGAATAAAAAACACCATGCATACAAAGATTTGCTTTGTTTACATCGAAACTAGTAAATATAATAATCAAAGCCTAAATAATAATGCAATGATTGAATAAATTTGAGGAAATTAACTAGAAATTTGAATCACACCAAATGAACAATTATTTATAATTTAACTGCCATACTTAAAATTGCATTAAATCTGAACAAAGTATGTAATAACTAACAAGGCAGTTATAATGCATCTATAAAAATTTAGTTAAAGTAAAAAGTTGACTAATGAAAAAGTTTGATCTTACGTTGGTACATGAAGGTGATTTTCTCGGGAGTAGGCTGCTGCATTTATAGCATACTCAAAGAAATCACATATCCAACTTGCGTATACAATACTGAAAATTGGAAGAGGAAATTTTATTGAATATATTCTTTTCCAACATTACGTTCCTCATGCAATCTATTTACAATTTTCTTATCCATAAGTTATTAGATATGGTTGACATAAAATCAGTCTAGTACAGTTATGATATTATTTAAAAATTCAAGTTTCAGGTGTTACAGGCAAATGCTTGACGAACAATGGAAAGTTGAGGATAAACTTATTCCTGTCCTTATCCATGAATTCCAATGGAACTTGAATCCACAACCACAAATTGCATCACATCCTTCAATCATTGGTCAGGTCAGCTGAACCATAGTCTTAACCAATGAAAAATGAAGTCCAAAGACTATGGGCACCTCCCAACACAGAGTCAGTCGTTAAAATCCATATGAAGTCAAAACTTTCAAATAACACTTAAAGTTCAATCCTCAAAACAGTAAACTCATGTGAAGTTCAAAATTTAAATCTACACGGAAGTACAAACTTCAAGACAACATAGAATTTCAAACACAGTTCAAAACACATCACCTAATACTGGAATCAACCACAGTATCTTAACTTGTTTGAATCCATACCGAACCACATAAACCTTCCTAACCACTATAAGTCAAATTGATAGAAAGTGTTTCTTGTTGTCATTATCATTCATTAAAGGCAGTTCCTAAAAAACAGAAATTGAAAGATGCAAAATAAGATTACTACAAAGTAACAAATTGAATGAATTTTGGTTAAATCATTTATTGAATATATTTATCCATCTATCTATCTATCTTAACGAGAACATTTAGATATCCATTAATGGCTATATCTGTCATTAATTGCATACTAACACTTTTTTGAGGTGGCCTTAGCGTCTTATGCTTCCTAAAATAATCATTATTGTTCACGTCTTATTAACGAAGAGAAAGCATTGTTCCATCCCTAAATGCATTTTTCATATGAAAAATGCTTCCTACTTATGTGAGTTTCACCCCTTTTGCGTTGTTTCACTTGATCTTTTTTTCATCCGTCAATGTAATTTGTACACTCATGTGCTCATCACTTTGAAGTTGGTTGTTTGGTTTCACATAATGGATTAAAAAGGAGAAAATGAAGACAACACCCATAGAAAGAAGAAAGAATTTCTTGATAAGGAAATGCTTTCATGTGGATCCTAACTATCTAGATAAACGATGTAATTGCAACCAGACTAATGGGGTTGTAATATAGTGCTATTCCATAACACAAGTATTGTGGTGTTTAGTCTAATATTTTATGCCCATTGATGTTATCTTATCAAGTAATGTCACTCTACTGTTTGCACCTTAGTGTTTCCATTTTCTTGTATTTCTTAAAATGCTATTGAATCATTAAAGATTTGATTAGTTGGGGAACACAGCCAATCTTTAGACTGTACATCTTACGTTTTCTTTATCGTATTCTGCGAAGCACCAAGATTGTGGGATAAGGAAGTACTACATATGCATGTTTGATTTCAATCAAGATTGTGGTATGATACAGGTATAATGACAGGTCTTGATTTGCAAATGTACTGCACATGCTATATTGAAGGATACTGCTTGTGAAATTTGTGAACACGTGCATACTACATATGCATGTTTAAAATCCATCGGGCCACTTAATCTGATCTTCACACATTACTTGACGTTATTTCCTTGACCAGGTGGCTGGAGTCATATAGCCGTTTCAAGCATATTTTTGGTTTGGAGGAACATGGAAGATATTCAGATATCTTGGTTTATTATTTATGTGGAAATCATGATATTGGTTATTCAAGTCTCCATGCACAATATCCTGAGGTAAAAAGGTTCCTGTTATAGACATGCAATCGTTTGTTATTCATGAATTTTCCATGCGAATCCAATCAAATTGACTTCTTTCATCAACCAGTACACTTTTAGCTCTAGAAGTGTAAAACCGTATTAATGTTGATTTTTAAAGTTATCAGGCAGGCCTTGTGCACTTGGCTGGCATATTTTTGGTTTGCTGGGAACATTAATATGTGGTTAATCTCTTTAATCTTGGAGATGCAACATACCTAGCTATTTTTGGATGTTCTGTTCTATTTTTGCAGTCACTCTTGTGAAAACTGTTCATGCATGACTTAGTTTCTTTTACCAGTTGTTAAATCAATAAGATTGTTTGCAAATAAGGCATAAAACTAGAAACAATGTTTTAAGGCATGGGTTTCACTCTTAGGACTACTTGTCACATGCAAGCACTTCAAAAGTTTGACTAATGGAGAAGGTGCAACCAAGGCTTTATTGATAAATGCCTGGCTTCCCATTAACTCACATAATTAGTGAATCCACACCACCCATGAGTTAATTGTTGAAGGGTGAATTACAACTCTATGATTCAATTGTCCATCATAGACCCTGAGGGACATGATGGCAGCTATCTTGGCTTCCTGTCAATTATATGTCTTTCTGTTCCGTTTGGGTGCACAATTATGCCACCAAGGATTCAAACCCACAACGTGCTTTGATACACATTTTTTTACCATTTGATGCAATCAGCTACTCTAAAAGCTTGGACTGATGGAGAAGGTACTATTATTGCTTTGTAGCTAATTATTACTCAGTCGTCAATCATGGTTGAATACAGGTTTTTGAATTAGACATCCACCATGAATTGCTAGAGACAACAATTTTTGCTCTACCTATTGGAGCTTCTCTGTCACATAGTGACGCGGGAGCAATCTAGGATAGTCCAAGTATTTATTTTTGGTCTTCTTTTATGTTGTTTCTTTTCTTTTAATATTTTATAGTAGTGGTCTTTTTGGATTGTCAAGTGTATTCCTACCCGTCTCCTATAAAAGACATGCTTCTTTAATAAGAAGGGGACTTTTGGGTGATCATTTTTATCTTTTTCTTTGTGCCAAGTGTGGGGTTTCCTCAAGAAACCTGCTGTTCGGTTTGTAACCATGGTTCGGCCCTCCCTGGCGGTGTTCGTGGGGCCTATGATCTGCTGCCCTGGACCGGTGCCTGCTGCCACAGCTGCAGATTTTGGTTCCAGGAGGGAGATGGTTGCTTAATCAAGCGTTTACATGTTCTGTCGCTGTCATCTTGGTATCAGCAAGTCTTTCTTTTCTGAGATGTTCGACTGGAGCAAGAATTTTTCCTGGAATGTCGTAGCCTGGTTCTTGGAAGCGTTCTCCAGTCCTTTCTACCATGGGAAGAAGTTGCCGCTGCAGTCCTCCCTCTTCTCCTCTATCCCATCAAAGAAAACTGTTGTTCCATCCACTCTTGTGTTGATTTCAGGTTCTAGAAATGTCACAATGCCGAAATCTTGGAAGACCCAATCAAAAAATGGTGGTTGAAGGACAACAACAAGAAATCCAACATTTGCAAGGTCTTGCTTTTATTGAGCAATAAAATTCTAGAAATCGGAGACAAAAGAATTGTGTCGAGGAGGCGGTTGAAGAAAAGTAAGAAGATCCTTTCTTCAGAGATGTATTCAATGAGGAAGATAGGCCAATCCACACCTATCATTGCTAAGATTTAGATTTTAGAATTAAGGTTGATATTTTTGATTTCGATGGAAGATTAGACCCTAAAAAATTCGTCAATTGGCTACAGACGGTGGAGCGAATTCTTAAGTATAAAGAAGTGCCATAAGAACACGTGGTCAAGTTTGTGGCAATCAAACTAAAAAATAATGCATCACTTTGGCTGGAGAACTTGGTAAAAAGAGGTTCAGTAAAAAATTACAACATAAGATAAAATGAAAGAAGAATTACAAAGAAAATTCTTGCGGGAACATAGTTGACAATTAGTTTTCTTAAATTTACATAATCTCCAACAACAAGACTTGACGGTGGAGGAACATTCGACAAAATTCGAACACCTTGAACCGAATTGCAACTTAACTTGATCAGAAGATCATTCCATTGCTCGGTCTTGGGTGGGCTAAGGCCAAACATAGGCCACGTGGTACTACCATAACATTTTTGAATCCTCCAAGATGTCAACTCTTGCTGTCAAGGTTGAACAACAATAAAAATGGAGTAAAAATTGCACCCTTACACCACTCCATCAGGGAGAAATATGTTTAGTCTAGAACTTAACAAAATAGTGTCCAACTGGTTGAGAACAAAGGCGAATCCACCAGCTGTCAGACTGTCTCTCAACCATGAGGAACAACAAAAACGGCTGCAAGCCCTTCTTCAACAAGGTGTTTTAAGTGTCATGGGTTTGGATATATAGCATTCAATTGCCCTAACCGCTGAATCATTTTGTTGGTGGAAAATGACAGTCCAGAAGAGGAAGAAATTTTGGAGGGTTGTAACAACCCCCTACACAAGAGGAGGTTCTGCATGCGAATGAGGGAGGACTATTGGTCCTTTTTAGGCTTGTGAATGTCGAGCCCCTTCTTATTCCAAAATGGTTTCATCACAATATCCTTAGTACAAGATGCACAGTGCAGGATAAAACTTGCAACCTTATCATTGATGGTGGAACTTGTGAAAACATAGTTTTTACTACAATGATAGAGAAACTCAGATTGATCACGCAACCACACTCACATCCTTATTGACTTACATGGCTTAAGAAGGTAAGTGAAGCTCCAAGTTACTAGACGATGTCTAGTACAAATTTTTATTGCTCGAAAGTTCCAAGAGAAACTTCAATGTGACGTTATTCCCATGGATGCTTTGAAGCTCATGGCAATATGATCACTAGACCGTCCATAATGGTTGTACTAACACCTTCTCTTTTGCTAAGGATGTAAAGCAAACTACTTTGGTTCTAATGAAGGAGGGACACAACAAATTTGAAGATAACAACATGGTTGTTGCAAATAGCAATTCAACAGTTGCAAACAACAGTTCAACTGCTACATTGTTACAACAAGAGCTGAACAATTCAATGAAGGGTTATTTCTTGTTGATTTCTGAAAATCGGGATTGTTAGACATTGATTCTAGCACCTATAGCGCCACGACTACAACAATATTTAGACATTTCTCTAAAGAAAGTTTCGGTCAGTCTACCTTCTTTTGCGGGAAATAAGCACACCATTGAACTCATACCTGGCTCGGTCATTCCTAATTGTCCATCCTATAGGATGTCACCGAGGGGGCTCTGTCACCGCTATCCCAATGCAACTGAGGTCAATTTATGGAGTGCTTTATGCCAACATTCTTGTTTTGAAAGCAATGACATCGCTTAGGTGTCTTGAAACTTTGCATCTAGGGAAATGTTTACCTGGTGATGGCTTCTTCCAAGCTTTGACTCACTGCCCTACATTGAGCAATTTAAGTATTTATAATTCCTTATTTGGTCATAGTTTTCAAGACATATCTATACACCATGGTAGACTGTGTGAACTTAATATTGTCAAGTGTCATATACATCATATTGAAATTAGACACCCTTAACATCGAACTTTGGCATTAAGACGAACCAAGATGGCCCGTGCATTACTTAGTTGCCCTCATCTGCATGCTTTGGATCTGTATTCCTGTCATAAGTTATTTGATCCTGAAATTCACACAACAACCACATCATGTCCTTTATTGGCATCTTTGGATGTCTTTTTGTTCATCTATTAGTGCCGAGTCACTACATGAAGTTGCTCTTGCTTGCCCTAATAAACTCAAACATTGGACAATAAGAAAAGGTTTTTCCAACCCCGGGAGAATGATGCGGGAGCAATCTAAAATAGTTCTAGTATTTGTTTTTAGTTCTATTTTATGTTTTTGTTATTTTATTTTCTTTTACAGGTGCATAGTGGTCGTTTTGAATTGTCCAAGATTATTCATACATGTCTTCTATGTAAGGCATGCTTTTTTGATGAAAAGGGGACATTTGGGTGATCTTTTTAATCTCTTCCTTTGTGCCAAGTGTGGGGTTTTCTTAGGAAACCTGACCAGGGTTTGACCCTCCCTGTGGATGTTTATGGGGCCTTTTATCCGCTGTCCGAGACCGACGCTTGCTGCCAACAACTGCAGATTTCAGTTTCAGGAAGGAGATAACTTTTTAATCGGGTGTTTTCCCTATTGTGTCGCTATCACATCGGCTCATCTTATTCACGAGGGGATTTACGTGGACAAGAAAACCCTACCGCCTAACAAAACTTGTTTAGTCATTCATATAATAGAATTTTCTCTATGCTTTCGGAATTACCCAACCTTTATAGGAGAGTATAACTTTATATTGCGTCTAAGAAATTTTTCTGGGCTTTAGTAGCTTCTTATATGTCGTAGGTGTTTGACATTGAAATTCCCATCACATGCTTATCCAAGCATCCTTTTTAATGTGAAAATTGATTTGATATTTTGCTTAGGGTCGATTGTCCTTAGACAGTAGCTTATTCACAACCTACCTTGTTTATTTGTGTTTGCCCACATTTCGATTCACATCTTCCTTTCTTCTATGTCTTCTCAAGTAGCATCTTTTTAAATATTATCACATCATTTTCACTTAAGATTTCTCTCATTTCACTCTCCAAATTTTGAATAATAGAAGAGGAAGCAAATGAGTGTGAAGATGATGATGAAATTAAGAGGCTAATTAAGAAGTGGATACTATTAACCTAGTTTTTGTTCTCAATCATTCTCGGACTCACCCAGGGGCCCTGTAGGATAGTGGTAAATTGATCGTGATCGTTACCGGCTTGGTAGCCATTGATTCTGTTTGATCCGTGCATTCTTAACATGTTCGTCTTTGATGATGAGTTGGGTGACTTGTCGTTATATGGACTCGTTATCATGCTCAAATATGCTTTATAAGAGTTGAGTCACATTTTTAATTATGTTCGGGCAAACACATGACAAGTACAACGACTTTTCACCA